GACACTGAGATTAGCGTCGAAAAACTTCCACCTCATAGACAAGTCTTCTATTTGCTATTTCAACAGTCATATAGAAGAGTGGTTAAACACGTATCTCTAAAAGGAATTTTTGAAAACATTTGATAGATTTTAGACTGTTAGTTGTTGTAGACTGTTGTAGTTGTTTGATCCTAGTTTGGGAATCATTGGCAGTATGCACCCACTGGGGAGTCTCGCTAAATCATGGAGTGGTAGAAGTTAGAATTCATGAGCTAGCCATTGTAACGAGTCCTAGTGAGTGGCTGAATGGTATACGAGCTAGCTTGGCTTGTAACCGAAATGTCCTGGGTTGGAGCCCTGACGGTGCGTGCGTACTGCCGATGATTCCCAGAAATCTAGGATGAAACAGTTGTCCAGTACTCCCTGACTGGTTTTCAATGATTCTCTAACTGATATCAATCCATGATCAACTCGTTAAAACAAAACTAACCCTGAAAAACCAAACTATAGGAAATACTATTCAGTTAGTTATCTAACAATCGAACCACACTGACAAATTTCAACAGTCGAATAGAATTCACCTCGAACAAGGCTTATTTCCAACTGACCTCTTTAAAACTAACCCAAACATTCTAATCAATATTACCTGGTCAAAGAAAACAATTGTTTTGATTTGACACTAGTAACTAGTGTGATGCGTCTAGTCCTCTGATTGGTGTAGACTGAATTCTATCAGTCAGGTTGTAATGTGACCACCATTCTAGCTAGCTCGCCATCACGGTGCACATTGATTTGATGGAAGGTATTAGATGATTGGAGGTAATCGACAGGTTCTATCGCGGCCCCGAATAGCTCAGCGGTAACATCTCTGAATGCAGCCTTCACTGGGTGACGCGGGTTCGAATCTCAGAAGAGACATGAGTTTTTCAAGGTTGCAGATACGCCTTGCTGACGAGTGCCAACTAGCACGAAACCTAGGTCAAGCAAGGCTTCCTGTGGCCGACTGCCTCCAACCATCTAATATCATCAAAACAGTTGTTTGTTAGAAATGTAGCGCAAGCCATCTAGCTGGTTAGAGTAAAACTCAGTAAAAAGGTTAATCGAGCATTACTCTTGTCTGCATTAATTATGAAACGATTTAATTACTAATAATAATTAACAATGATAATAACAATTAATAAGGTCAATGTATTGATTGATTTCAACCTTTTTCGTCTATTTGATATAACATTGAACAGTTGAATGAAAATAACGTTGATTCAAAAATAGAATAATCTACTTAACAGTTCAATTAAAGTGTCCTCACGATTGAAATCAGTTACTCAGAATGGATATCTCATAAATTTATTAGATTTAGAGTAATACTTATTGTGTGAGAATGAATGGTGCCACCCAGATCATGGCGAATTTCGAATTAATGGTGACACTGAAGCGGGAGTTCTCCAGAAACAATTTTCAACATGTGCATATACCAGTTAACCTGCTCATCCCGGGGCCGCGTACATTGATTCTACATTACCCCCACCCTCTTGCAAAACGCGCCTGGTAACACTATCCAGTCTAGTTAGCAAAAAGAAGAGATAAGTTAGGCTTAAAGTTCTATAACAGAACATCTGATGAACTTGGGACACTCGGTTCTATTTTTGAAAAATTCCTCCAAGTCCTAAATAAGATCTGACTCAACGGGTTCAACACATAACTTTTACACAGATGTGCGTGCACCAGTTCGAGTTGCCATTCTCCTTCTACGTAGTACACAAATCAAGAGGAGAGGGTAAAGGGAGGTTCAAAAGAAAGCGAGATAATAAACGGAAGTGTGAGTGAGAGAAAAAGAAGAGTAATATAAAAGAACAATATGGCTTTATTGGATAAGACAAATCACAAACAGTGAGCGCATCTGCACTGGCCATTGAGAACGAGGATGTTGAGCCAACCATATCACCACCAATTGTCACCAACCATAATTAGCTTTTGCCATCGCACGGGCACCCACCACTAAGTTTACACTTCCTTGCGCGACTGCCTAACTGACTAGCGTAAACTAACTGTTATATGGATTCGATTGACTGATAAGGCCATGTTTTTGTTTGACCATCACTAGCTGGCTCTTCTCCAATCTGGTCCATCCTATGTCATTCAGCTAACATTGCCCATCGAGGTAGGCGCTGGCTAGGTATGCGTCACACGCATCCTGGTTACCTCAATCGATGTAACTTCACAAGCTCATAGAATGATTTCCTATCCTTACCTAGCACTCGACGTATAACCTCAATATTTCTCACCCTATTATACCAATTCACACGGGAAATCATAGGTGCCTGCGTCCTATCTCCTGTGTGAAGTCGTATGATAGGGTGTGAAATATTGAGGTTATGCGTCGAGTGCTAGGTAAGGATGGGAAATCAATTTATGGGCTTATGAAGTCACTTAGAATGAAGTAATTGGGATACGTTTGTCGCATACCTCTTCAGCGCCTACGTCGATGGGCAAGTTGGCTGACTGACATAGGATCACCCAAATTGGAGAAGAGCCAGCTAGTAGTGGTCAAACAAAAACATGGCCTCATCAGTTAATCAAATCCACAACAGTTTGTTTAAGCCAGCCAGCCTCATGGGAAAGTGTAGACTTCCTCACTGGTTGGGGTCCTCAGGACGGTGAAAACCAATGATAGCTGAAGACAATCGGTGATATGGCTCAAACTCTGCGTTCTCAGTGGCTGGTGCAGATGCATCCACTCCTTGTGACTTATAATTTCAAATAAAACTCTACTGTTCTTCGATATTACTATTCCTTTTGTCCCATATCCCTGTCTACTGTCTCTATAATGAATTTCTTCTACCTTCTTCTCTTGCTTTGTATGTGACAGAGTTCGCTGACAACGATACTTTCAAAGTTGGATCCTCGATCTGAGTGTAGCTGAAGTGGTGCCCTCCAACGGCTGAACCAGTAGTCAAAAAGTGACTCTACGATGGTTACAGCACCAATCTGTGGAATAGCGATAACCTCACACCATTTGGTAAAATGGTCTACCATGACTAAAATATAGTTATTGTTTCTGGAAGTTACTGGTAGAGGCCCTATTTGTACTAAGTCATTTAGATGACCAGTTATAATGGGTTCTAAGGGTGCCTTATTATATTTGTGCGGAGCCTTAATAGTTTGGCATACCTTGCAAATGTCACAGAAATCTATGATGTCTTTCCTCTGGTGAGGCCATCAATAACGTCTTTTAGCCGCTTCACTCATTTTCCCTGAGCCCGCGTGGCTTAACTGCTGGTGTAATGACAATAGTACTGTGGAAAGTGCCGACTGTGGAGCCACAATGCGACGAGTATAAGTGGGTCCATTTTGGTAGTAGAGGATGTTATCGACAATTTTCAAATTATCCCACAGAGACCATAAACACCGGGTTTCCCATCCAAGCTTACTTATTTCCTGGGTTGCTGGTCGTTCGCCTCCACTTCGAACACGTTCGTAAATCAAGGCAAGTTCAGGGTCTGAAGACTGAAGTTCAGGCCAACTATATGAAGTATGAACCTCTAGTTGGAGCAGCGAAACTTGTGCTTCAGTGCATGATGGGCAGTCACCGTGATACCTAAGAAGTTTCCTTGACAATGCATCTGCATTTCCATGATTTTTACCCGGTCTATGCATGCATTCGAAGTCAGGTGTTCTCGCCATCTAGCAATCTGACCCTCAGCTTCTTTGAAGTAATGTAGCCAGTTAAGGGCCTTATGATCAGTGCGTACAACGGAATGTCTTCCAAGGAGATATGCCCTAAAGTGTTTAACAAAATTGACCAGTGCCAGCATTTCTTTCTGCGTGGTGCAGTAATTCTTCTCACTCTTGTTGAGTGCTCGACTTGCATAGGCTATCACCTTTTCTACTCCATCTGCGTCTTTTTGAGACATAACTGCCCCGATATCAGAGTCACTAGCGTTTGTGTCTAGGATGAGTGGACCTTACTGGTCAGAAACATTGGGATATGCTAGGACAGGGGGACTACATAAACAGTTTTTAAGTCTTTCGAAGGCTTCCGTAGCTGATGCTGTCCAGCTGTAGTCTTTCTTCTTAAGAATGTCTAATAAAGGAGCTGCAAGGAAAGAAAAGTTATGTACAAAACGTCGATAATACAAGGCTAACCCTAAAAAACTATGTAACTTGGGAGCTGAGTTTGGGAGCGGCCAGTCTTTAACTTCCTGAACTTTTGCTGGATCACATTTAATGCCTTCGGCTGAAACAATGTGGCCTAAGAAACACACTTCTTTCCTGAAGAATTGACATTTCGATGGATTCAGTTTTAACCCAACGGTCTGCAACCGTTCTAATACTTCAGAAATATCACTTAAATGTTCGGTCATCGTCTTACTATGTATGATAACATCATCTAGATATACCAAACACTTACCTGGTATACAATCACTCAAGACCGTTTGCATGAGGCGTTGGAATGTTGCTGGGGCATTGACTAACCCAAACGACATTGCTTCAAACTCATACAGGCCTGCTTGTACAATGAACGCTGTCTTTTGCGTCAGTGGCACAGTGGTTAGGACTCTCGCCAACCATGCACATGGTCCGAGGTTCGATCCCCTACTGACGCAAACCTGACATCTTTGGTCGGCCTTCAAAATTTGAGCTACCGATATCCATGCTGAGAACTCCATGCTTGTACCAAAAATACAGTGTGGAATCAAGCTGTAATCAAAAAATAAAATATATGAATGGAGTGTGGCGACTCGAACTGCTGAACATCGTTGCAAAGCTCTATGTCGAAAAATAATATACATACAGACAGACTAATCGACTGTGATGCTAATCTGAAGCGACCAGTTGGATATTCAGGGATGCCAAGAAGAAGATTATATTTAGGAGGGGGGAATGAAAACATGCGGAATGTCGTGAAGCCATCTGAAAGTGATGCCAAAGAATCAACAGTAATGGAAATTTGTAGAATTAAAATATCATTAATAATAATAATAATCATATAGCAACTAAGGATCAACAATACTTCGACTTACTTCATATTCATTGATATCATAATATTTTAAATCTATGCCGTCCAGATTCCAATCCAACATTAATTCTTTCATAAATTCATAAGATTTGTCATCAACAATAAAATGAAATACAAGTGTTAATCTTTGATAATTATTACTATTATCCAAATGGTTTCGAGCTGCTTCAATCAAATTTAACCAATCTGTATTGAAATGTGGAAAATGCGTAAATGTACAACAATTATCCTTTGATTGATACCATCTACGTTGATTGAATAGAAGAGATTTAATCTGTGTTTCAGCTTGATAACAATTGTCTTTACCGCCAGCTAGTAACATTGCTACATGGACTGAATCATTGACAAAATGATAATGAGGCTTGTGGATAGGCTAAAAGTGCATATAGATGAGGAGAAAAGCAGAAAGGAAGACTGTTTTTAAGAATGTTAGCAAGGACCCCATGTCACGAGTGATCCAATCAATTAGATATTGCAGAACATTTATACATTTATTCCCCTTTTATGAAGTTGAATACAGCCAAGAACAATAGTGGGTTGTGTAGAATAAAAAGCTACAATCATTGCTGATATTATTGGCTTCTCATCAGCTGCTTGCAGCACAAAGATAGTGTTAGTAAGTTGATGTACAGCAACATTACTAACATACTTATCCACGGCTTACAAGATTGATCAATTTTAATACTTTATTATAACTTGACTTCACACAGTATTTTGGTGCAAGTGTGGAATTTTCAGCGTGTGATATCAGTAGCCTAAATTTAGCAGGCCGACCATTGATATCAGGTGTCCGTCGGCTGGGAATTGCACCCTAGACCATATGCATGGTAGGTGAGCATCTTAACCGCTGTGCCACCGACGCATACAATGATAATAATAATAATACTAGCATTGGTCATCTTATTCCAAACAACAATAACAATACAAGAATGATCTAATATAGAAACAAGGTAAATCAGACAGCAACTAAAGTAAGATTGAGTTAGTTAGTAAGTTGGATGACGTAATATAATTGACTAAAATGTTTCAACTTAGGACAGAGTAGCAACTGAGGTAATTCATTACAGGTGGAGACTAAGTAGAGGTGGGGAAGAGAATAATGCCATTTAAATTAGAACTGAAATTGAGCAAATAAGTTGGATGACGTAACATAAATGACTAGAAACTGAGTGTTACTCAAGTCAGTAACAGTTGTAGTGAGATGTAGAAATTAAATCGGGTAGGGGTAGAGAACAAGAAGGTTGAAAATGTAAAATACTACAAATGACAAGACAAAATAACACTAATGAAGAGACAGAAAAAAGATCAGGTAGAATTTACTTGTTGGGTAATAAGATAGATTACGTCCATTGCAAGTGTAGTGATTGAACGAATTTCTTCTGTATGCAAACTTCATGACTTAACAAGTGAATCGACATTGCTTCTGCAGTTTGAAGAAGTCTGATTCGCACACCTTTAGGAAGACTACTTCGTATTCTGTAGACGATTTTGAAGTTTGTTTGGGATGTAGCTTGGTGTCCGGAATCTATCAGATGTTCTAAGATGGAACTGTGGGGGCATCATTTTTCTCCTTTGTAAAACAATTTTGGTAAGTGTTCGGTGATACGTTTGGAAAGCGAATGCTGGGTACGGCCGACATATCTGGCTCCACGCGAGCAGATGAACTGATAAATACACATTGATGAGGCCAGCAGTGGTAGCTTATGCTTCACGTTCACATGAATCATAGGTTTTGTGGAGAAGGCTAGTCGTAGTTCAGCTGTGAAGAAGGTCTTCTTGAGTGAGCGCGACAGTCGATTTTTCAGTTTTTCCGCAGATATATCTCCATTGAATTGAAGGTTAATGTACAGCATTGTTTTCGGGATGCTAAGCATGGGCGGGTTTTGTGGTCTAGGATTTATAGATGTTCCAATAAATCGTTCTAGATAACAATTCTCAAAGAGGGTTGTCTTGAGATTGTCCAGTTCATCTTCTATGATGTCCGGGGTGCAAATTCTACGAACTCTGTAGCTAAGTAAACGGATCAGGTTTCGTTTGGTGCATAGAGTTCTCCCAAAGTTTCACTAAATATGATTATCAATGCATAAATCAAAGCTATTCCATTGACCATCTCAGACAAACATCTAACTTTGTGATGAAGATGGATTTGTACAACACGTAACACACACTTGTACAAATAGTAGTCCTTAAGCTGATGAAATCACAGGGAATAAACACCGAGATCTCTGTCTGAATGATTCTGCTCGACCAAGATGCTCAATTTGTGCTCACAACTTTGGAAATTAAAATACACTGACGGAACAACAACCCGTATTCATTACTCAACAGGTAGTAATGGTAGCTGAATCCTATCACTCAGTAATCCTTTCGCGTTTGGAACGACGAGTCGTCAGTTCGAGTCTGAGTGAAAACAGAAACAAAGTATGATGGATGTGCATCAAACTGAGGGATCCGAGATAGGACGGCCTTCACGTCCTGGATTCCGTTAGTCATCATCATCATCATCTGTAGCATCAGTATAGACGACAGTCCCCAGAGATCAATTTGCAGAAAACCAACATGAAGTGAACAATACCTACACGTCAAAAGTTTTTGTTCAAATAGCTTTAAACGAGCACTAGTAAAAACTCTGTCCCACAGAGTCAGGAGAAAAAGGTCTGTAGAGAAATTAGAGGAAGAATTTCTGATTCTGGAAACGATGTGAAGATTCCTTAACAAGCATGGGAGATGCAAAGATTCAAATGTGAAACAAATCACAGTAGGGGAAAAAACCTATCTTCATTCAACTTCGTTTTAAAAGTGATGATATTGAGGACGTCACTAGTCACAGCCTAACCTGAGGTTCAGTTGATTTCCGTCTATCGGACAACATGCTCCCTGGTCCAGACAAAAATCAACTCCAACGGTGTATACAAGTTTACATGTATCTACGGAAGCAGTTGCATTGAGAGAACAGAAAGACGGGCATATCGCCGATTTTCTGAACATGTATCAAAAAGCCTACATCACAAGGGAACAAACACTTTCTAGTGTCATAGCCAGGTATCTCCTTGACACGAGTATTGAGGTAAGCTCGCAAAATCATTCAAAATTATCAGTAGGTAAAATAGTTCACTTCTCCGCAAGTTTACCGAATCAATCTCCATCAAGCGCCTGAAACCTGATTTGTGTGTTCAGAAAGAAGTGCTTATAAGCCTTACCTTGTCTTCGTAACTGGATGTTCTCTCTTTCATTTGATTACATAACACTGGAAGTGCCATCCTGTATAATTAATATCGTTATTTGGAATAAAGTGGCCATTACTCGTATTATTATTATTACCATTGTATGAGCACATTGATTTTTTGCTTAAACGTGAACTCTCTGAGTAAGTATATTAACACTGCTTCTGTACATACACCTAATGATAATAACTTCGGGCTGTAAGCAGCTGATGAGAAGCCAATGAAGTAAACAATCGTGGTACCATTTTTGTTCTGCACAAGCCACTGCTGTTCTTGCCTGTATTCAACTTCACAAAGGAAAATAAATTTATAAAACAATAAAGTTATTGTTGTCGCAAATTTCTCAGGTAATGATGACTTCTGTGTGTCTACTGAGTATGCGAGAATGTCGCCTAGGTGACCAGTTGTCTCGAGGAACATTCTATTCAGCATAGATGTCAGTTTTGTACCAGTCCGATACAAAATCGAATTGGTCAGATGCCTCACGAATAGAGCAAGACGTATCTGTACAGATGACTCCCTAGAAAATGAGCTAGGATACATCCAAAATACCCTGGTCTAAATGGGTCATCCTAGTAGATTTGTAAGGGGACACATGAACACCAAGTACAATAAAGAAAAACTGACAACAGTCAAAAAGAAACAACTGTTCATGAAACTGCAATTTAATGGGGACGTGGCTAGCGAAGTCTTACATCTGAGATTATCGAGAGAGATAAAACTGACTTATACTGCCGCCACCCTTTGTTTGTCATTTTCCAGCCGACCAATTATGATTGCTCAAGTGAAAGATAAGCTAACTAGCTGTGCCACTTCTATGTGTATCAATTTAGTCACTCCTGTGGAGAAAGCTATATAGGGCGAACAATTAGACAGCTTAACAAACGCATTATTGAGCATCTTCCTTCATGTTTCAAAAAGGTCAAATAAAATCCAAACGAAGTTCTATTTTGTCTCATTTGATTAATAGCGGTCACCAAGTGGACAAAAATAGTGCCTTTAAAGCTATCTATCGCATTCCATCGAGCCTTTCGAACGGAATTCACACCCGCCTTTTCCACATAGCCGAAGCTAAGGGAATTCGAGAGATTAATCCTAGTCTTTGCACGACAAGAAGTTTGTTCTACCTTTGTCTCTCCTTGTCCTAGTGAACTCTAATCAAACCCTACCACTTTCTTATTTTCATTACCTTCGTGCCTTTAAGGTATTTATTTAAACTCAGATTATCTGTCCACTTCACTGCCCTTGGTATTACGTAATTTTCAAATAAAATTTTTCCTTCACGTTCCCAGTGGAACATAGGGCTTCAAGCTAATGGCTTGAAGTTTCTGTAGCAGTGATGATTATTTTTACAGTGGGGTTCCTAGCCTCATGCCCAACCTTTCCTCTTTACCAGGATTTTTCTGGCCTAGCGAGGTAAAGGAGTGCGTTGGCGGAATTGAACCCACGACCATATGCATGATGGCGAGAGTGCAACCACTGTGCCACCACACCACCGACGTAACTTTCAGATTTGACCTAATTTATTTATTCAATTGTCTGCATATACACATGCATATTACTACCTTTGTTATATTGCCACCTGCATAAACCTTATTATCAATATTTTGTTAAATATAATCATCCTTATATATAATATTTTTTGATTTACAGCTTGATTCACACTGTATTTTAGTACAAGTATGGAATTTTCAGTGTGGATATCGGTAGCCCAAATTTTGTGGGCCGACCATAGATATCAGTGTGCGCCGATGTGGACTCGAACCCGCATGTGCATGGTCGTGAGAGTCTTACCAACACCGACGCATATTATAAATAATATCTGCACCATGTAAAGGAGACGCAGCCACTGAAAACCGATATCGAAATTTAATGTTCTTGTGGAGACAGTTACATAAATAGAGCGACTCAGCAAGCTTACTGTTGGCTTTTGGAGCAAAGTCAGCCATGGTTAGGTAGAGGAATCGTAAAGACAATCAGAAGTTGCAAACTGGCACACTTTGGGCTGGATAAAGAGCATAAGATTGACAAAAATTCAGCTTTCACATCTCTATACAAAGTGCTACCGGAACTCCTTAGGTTGGTATATCTTGAGTTGTTCGACTTGGCTGAGACAGTTGCTATAAACATTTTTCAACCCAGTCTCCAT